GGGCGGCAGCTCTGCACTTGCAGGCTTCGGGCCCAGGGACAGGTTGAGCTCTGAGCTAACACATTTGCAGCGAGGAGGTGCTCCTTTACATTCTCCCCTCCAAGGCTGCCAAGGGGGCCTCATGCTCACCCCAGCCCCTCGGCAACGATGGGTGGTCCCTGTGCTGAGCTCGCTGCCAGGCACAGCACGGACCCCAAAAAGCACAGCAGCCCCCAGGCTCATGGTGCCAAGGGTATCTGAAGGATATAACGGCTATTCCATCCTTCCGTAATTTGAAACAACATCTGAGTGAAGCCATTTGTAAAATGGCTTTTTAGCATAAAATTGACTTGTTAGAGTAACCTTGGCCAATGAACTGCAACTCCATGCATTTTCTTTGGTTCACACAATGGCATTCTAGAAGGGACTAATGAAACATTTTTATTTAGAATATAGTCCTCATTATTTAAATATCAATACAGTTTTTGCAATAGTTATCAAGAGTTCCCAGTACCAGGGAAAAATAAAACAGCCACATGCTTGGCTATGTTCAGAGCTTTAGCAAGCCTCTCCATCTCCTAGCTGAACATGCAGGGGTGGTATGTGTCGGTACAATCTAATAAATACAAAATAAAGCAAACGTCAAAAGAGATGTTTCTCTGTGGGCCTGGACGTGCCTACCAGAGAACCACGGCCTCCTCTGGCCATGTCAAAAACCCCAGAGCAAGGAATACACAGTTGTCAAAGCAGCAATATCCAACTAGAGAGACCAAGGGTTGGAGGAGACTGTCACTGAGAGCCACTGGACTGCTCAGCGCAGGCAGTCCCAGCTGCTGGCTGGCGATATCCACTGCTGCAGCCCAAGACAGCAAGCCCTGCATCTATTCCTTGTGACTCCGACTGCAGGTCAGTGTCAGTCCCAAAGCCCCCAGTGAAGGCCATGTCTAACCACAGTGATTAAAAAGTAATTTGCCTTCTGGCAAAGCCCTGGAGCAGTAATGAGACTGACACATTCCTCAAACCATCTTCAGGAAAAAAGTGAGTCATGCTGCTACTGAATTATAAACTCACATAAATATAATTTAAAAAAAAACCAAAACCACGACATTTTGCAAGTACTCCCAGGCAGGGTCTTTCCTTCCCAGCTGTTGTGGTAGTGGTCCTATTCAATCACAAACTGCTCCGTACAAGCCAGGGCAGGCAAACCTGAATTTAGATGGCACTCCCAGAGTTAGTAACATATGCCTGCCAGTCTGGGAGAGAAGGAACATGTTTCTGTTCTGCTCAGCTAGGGTATTTAACCTGGAAGCATGAACGATGCAATAATATATGAAATAATGAACCTCTCCCAAAATAATAGCTCTGTACAGCCCTAGGAAAGATCCTTGGCCAGCATAAACTAGGTGCTACAGAGGGAGAAGCAGCCAGAGGAGAGAGCTTCCCTGTGATTGTGGCTGTGGTGATCTAGAGAGGCTATTTGAAAAGTTTTGGTCTCCCTTCAAGAAAGAGTAGGAGCTCTTCCTATGCCTGGTTACTGTAATGCAGCACAACCTGAGCTCTGAGCAAATACTACTGAAAGCCTAGACCTTTGGGAGCTATATGAACAGCTAAGGACCAGAGCAAGTCCTTTTCATCTAAGCTTTTGCCGATTAGAAAGGGCAGATCGCAGTCCCCAACGCCTCCCTCGGCTTCCTCTTTCCCCTGCTCTGTGCTAGGTGTCACACTGCAGCACTGCAAGTCTGGCCCCTTGGTGGGTAGTGCTGGCTCTGAGCGTGTGCCCCCACCGCCCTCCTGGGCTTGCAGGGCTCGCCAGAAACACAGCGGACATGCAGTGATGGCACCCAGCTTTCATGTCAGACACAGACCCCAGGGCTCCTACGCCGATGGAGTCAGAGGAGGGTTTGCTACACAAACTGAGCCTGGCTTGGGTTACAAATGCTGGCTGCAGCATGACATGGGATACAACCGGGACATTAGACAGCTATTGGAGACAGCTCTGTTGCTTCATGCCAATGAATGCTTTTGCTGCCCTATATTCTTGCGAGAGCCCAGCCTGCTCTTGCCTTGCTGCAGGTTCAGGCGCACGGAGAGATAATGTTAGAGTTGCAGTCTAGGGTGTGAGTGTGGCTTCTTTTGCAGTTTTCGGGCACGCAGCCAGCACCAGGTGGGCTGACCAAGTCCAGGTAGTAGGGGGACTTGAGGAAACGGCGGTAAGAATCCTTTTCCATGAGGGTAAATATTTTTCTCTGAGCCTCATCAAAGCAGGACAATGTAGGCTCCAGCATATTGTGGCTTGTCTTCTCCCGTGTGCATGAATCCAGGTTCACCTGTGGGTCAAAGGGACAGCATAAGAAGAATCTGTCCCAGAATTGGCTAGCATAGGTAAAGGAAAATCCAAGCATCTCTTCACCAAGACAGTTTAAGCTGTCTTTGATGGGCAGTGGTCTGAAATGGCCATTGGACACCAATGGCCATTCTGCCTTGGCAGAATCTGTCCAGTTGGATACCAATGTGTCTCTGCTGCCAGATGAACTGCCAGGGGAGACCGGCACATATTCCTCTGGGATGCAGCCAGCCAGGAAACCCAAGCAACTGCACAGGAGCAGCTGGAACACTAGGAATCATAGGCCTCTCGGGCTTCTCCTGTTTGAGTGTGCACATGGGATGGCTGCGTGGTTGTAACTAAACCCACTTTCTCTCTATCCAAGTTTGATATGAAAGCAATAAAAATGACACCATTTGCTTGCTAACTTAACAGAGAAGCAGCATCCTTCAATTCTTCTGAAACTACCAGATCTCTACTTCCCTGTGCTGCTGGCCTAGTTCAGGATTTAGGGTGATACCTTTGCTCAAGAAATGTTCTGTGCACATACCTCTTTTGTTGCCTGCACTGAGATGAATTCATCATAGATCTTTCTGGCCTTGGGGCTGAGCTTGGCTGGTGACTTGGTTTTCTTGTAGTCCTCACAACTCACCCAGAACTCGATGTTTTCTTCACTGTACTCAGATTTGAGAAAAGCACGGAAAGCAGCCAGTCCTCCTACAGATTGTTTAGAGGAAAACCAGATCAGGTAAGAGTGTTTGTTCCTGGATAGTCATACCCATGAACCCTTGCAGACAACAATTCTGCGTTCTCCTTCCTAGAGCTGAATGAGCAGCTCCCCTGGGGATGGCGGCCTGCCTCCATGGCAGTCGCTCATGCATGCTTAGGGAGGCTGGAATTCAGACAGGCCCCATGGGGATGTCACACGTGGGTCCTCAGCTGCCAGCTCCCGCACTGTGACCTTCGGTGGCTCAGCTAGGAGAACACAAGCAACTCGTGTGTTCCCAGGAGGCCCCGAGGAGACAGCCAACACACGCCACAGAGTCTCAGGCCATGGGAACAGAGTGAAAGAAACCTCAAGGACATCAGTGTAGCCTGAAATCAACGGGAAGACAAAGTCTCCTGTGGGCTCGGCTGCAAACAGTTTCTCCAGCTTTTGGTTCTTGTTTAACCCACTGTTAACTGGGTGCTGCAGTCTTGCCCTCCCCTTGCACAGGGCTAAACCAGCTGCCTTCACAAAAGGGACAGCTCAGCAGTAGGTCGAAGCCCCACTCATGATAAATTGGGATTGTCCCTCGGATCTGACAAAAAGCACCGTTCACCACCCCTCCCAAAGGCCTGTGCAGCCAAAGGAGCTATTGTGTGCTGCTAAGAGATAATGTCCCATGCCCCCACCAGGAACCGCTCAGCACACACACTTTGCAGGCAGCACCCTCAACATCTCCAGCAGAAAGGCCCTCTTTACTTACTGTCATGATGGATCAAGTTTTCCAGAGAATCTGCCCACTTTCTGACTTCCTCTTGGCTAACCCTAAAAGGAGACAAAGGGAAAAACATATGAAAGATTTAGGGTGAGTACAGAGAGGCCAAATTTGTTTTTTTGCTCAGCACCATTGGAGAAATCTCGTTCCCTGATTCTTGTCAGAGTATACATGAGAGGCCAAGAAGCAAATGTCTGCTTGCTTTACAGAAACCCCTAGAGATCCCAGATCTCATCTACAAAAATTCCGGTTTGCAATCCCTGTCACTAGCCACGGGCTGAAAAGGAATTTTCCTGGAAAAATTGTTAGGGACTTTGTGTTTATTTTGTGACTAGCTGCATTTCTTGATGGGGCATGGACCTGGGATCACTCTTACAGGTCATATCAGTGAACTCCAAAGGGCTGATTTCTTTAACCTGTCAGGGGAACAGTAGCTATACGGAACCACGAGAGAGGAACGTGGGAACTAGAAACACCTGGGGAACATGGGAACACATCCTGCATCATTCTCCCTACCATACCAGAACATCCTAGGGCTCATCTATTCCAGAAGCATACCTTGGCCTTTGGAGTCCTCCTTGGAAAGGACACCATCTACTTGCACCTCAGTGAGAGCAGTGATACCCTGACAGGCTGCTCGCTCTGCTTTCTGTGTCAATACCTCTGTGCACCTGTGTGGACCATTGCACAAACTCATCTCAAAGAAACAGTGATGCTGATTCTGTAATGTATCAAGTCACATTGGGTCCTGTGATGGCATTATTCCCCTGCACAGGAGACTGCACAAGTCTTTCCATATGTGCACATGCATATTGAATCACAGAAGTGTTGGCAGAAAGGGACCTCTAGTTCAGCCTTCTTCATGGAAAGGGACTATCAATACCTGAGGACTATTGCCACTCTAGATTCAAACACGCAGGTGTTCAGGAGGTACTGGGAAGCAGCAGCAGAAACGCTAATGAAGTTCAGCTCACTGAAGGAGTAAACAACATGTTGCAGCTAGCCTAGGCTTAACTACATGGCGGCATCTGCTCTTACCTCTGGCTTGAAGATATTTTCTCCTTCTTGCCCTGGGAAGAGCTGTAGTCACAAGAGTCTGACTTCTGCAGCAAGAAGCCCAGACGATGCTTCATGTCTTTGGCACTGAAAGAAACAATTCACGAATGGGATGAAGATAATGTGTTACAACTCCCTCAGCAGCCTCACTCACAATAAGCTCCTTCAGCATTATTCAGTGACATGAATGCAGGTCACTGCTAGTGACTCCAGTGCTGACTTTCCACTCCTCGTGTAATGCACATTGCTGTTGCTAGACAAATACAACAAAGTCAATGAAGACATTTTTCATGTTCAACAGCACCATTTTTTTGCTGAGAAGGTCATCAGCCTGGAGGCAGGGCTGGCAAAGGGGGAGAGGCTGCTGTTTTCCTACTGTTTGTTTACAGTTAAAATATTGTGACAGAAAGGCATCACCATGCTGTAAATGTGTCACTTCTCCCTAAACTGATGTGCCAAGCTACCAGGGTCCAGTTCTTACACACTTACTAATCCCTTCCTGCAGCCCGTGCCATCTCCCGACCTCATCACCCGACTGGAGGAACAGCAGGGCCTTGCCAGGCCACCCCACCAAGCAGCTCCCCGTGGCACAGAGGGAAGGGAGGAACCGAAGGGCTGGGGACAGGACCGTGGGGTGAGATCAGGGGATGAGCCAGGAGCTTTACCACAACCAGCCCACGCTGACTGCAAGCTACTCTCTTGCTCCATGGCGAGCTCCTACAAGGATACATGCTTAATTTTGTTCTGCTTTCCAGCATGCTCAGGACAACCATTGCCTGACAGCAGCCTCTAGATGTGCAGCTGGTATTGGCCTCAGCACCCCTCTGGACTTCCTTCCAGTTTAAGAATGAGGGGATGGGTAAATCAGTCCTGCTTGCTCAGGGGTGTAAGGCCTGGTCTGCTGCAGGGTGCAATGATAGTGTCTGCAGGAAATTCTTCTCCTGCTCCTCAGATCAGAGCCTGGAAAAGAGCAAGAGGTTGTGCTGCAGGGCTGAGCTCCAGCAGCCGCTCAGCCTCCCAGCACGGCTCCTTGCTCCAGCCACAGCACCCTGTCAGCAGTCCCGGCCATATCTTATCTCACTGCTTGCTTGTGCTCATCGGTGTTTCCTTAACAACTCCCACACTGGGGTGAGGGCGAAGGAAACTCATAGCTTAAGAGCAGGGTGCGTGTGGCCAAGGCCAACATGCAGGCCCTGCCCAGGCAGACGCGGGGTACTCTGCGCTGCCAGGCTCGGGCTGCCTCGCGCTGCCGTCCTGCCTGCCCCCGAAGACAGAGACCGCTCCGGCCTGCAGCAGGAGGAAACAGGACACTGCTGCTTGCAGCAAGTCCTGCAGCTTTCTGGGACAGAGGGATTTTCTTGGGAATCCTGGACAGAGGTGGTTAAAAGATGGGGACTTTTTTTTCTTGCATTTTTTCAAATCTTCTTTGACCACTCCCCGTCAATTGCTTCTGCAAATTCAGGGGAAGGGTGTCAATATTTTTTCCTCACATTTTCAGCATTTGTTTTCAAATCCAGCACAAGCCGACAGCTTTTTCTCCCAGCTAGGAGCAGGCTGAGTCTCAGTTTGTACTTTCCCAGCCCTTTCCCATTGCATGGCCACTGGGTAGCAGCCTCAGGAGCGCTCCTGGGGGCATGAGCGTCCAGAAAGGTAGCGCTGCGCCGTCAGAGATCCGTGCCAGTTTGCATGGGCTGGATGAGCAGGGAGTTTTGTGGGGCGGATGCCATTCTGGGGATGTAGGCCACCCTGCTGGGGGTCTCCAGGCCCCACAGCACCTGAAAGGGAGTAAGACCCCTCGGGAGGGCTCGTGGCCACCTTGCAGGCATAGAGACCCCCTTACGCTGGGCTGTGGGCCAGGCCAAGCTGGCAAGGGCATGCTTGGGGGTGCGCAGGCTCCACGCAGCCAGCACTGGGATGCCTGGCTGGTACCGCACGCCGGGATGCAGGCAGATCTGGCACCCACGGCAGGGGTACAGCTCAGCCCATCCTGGTCGACACCACACAATGGGAGTATGGCCAGCCCCACACTGGCCCCATAGCGCTGTGCGCCAGGGGCACAATCTGACCTGGTGCCTCACCATTCGTACACGCCCGGGGGATACAGGCTGACAGCCAGGTGTCAGGTCCTGCCAGGCTGGGTTTCTGCATTTGGGATGCATTGTGAGGAATGACCCTGAATTTTTTTGACATCCTGTCTGCCTGGCTTCCTCCTCAAAAAAATCAAGAAAAGAAAATTCAGTAGAGAAAGAGGACTTACAGGAGAAAAGCAGTGCAAAGCTTGCGGCAGAAGCAGATGACAGGAATATCAAAATACAGCAATGCTAAAAGCTGCTTGTTTTGCTGATGGGAAGGATGGGTTTCCCACAGCTCTGTACAAAACCTTTATGCAATTCTGCTTCTGACTAACAGGAAAAAAAAAAAAAAGCCTGTAAGCAAATCATTTGTATCTAATCTTACAAAAAAAATCAGCACTGAATCTGCCACTTCTGCTTCAGACACAAAGTGCAACACATCAGCGTATCTCCAGGCTAACAAAACCATTACCAGATGCTCAGAAACAAGCATTACCTTTTTAAGCAGGTGGCTGGCAGTGCAGCGAGTCCCTTGCACATCTTGCTCCCAAGGTTTGTTCTGTATTCCAGGAAAACCACCAACACAGGAGGCGGCAGAGGCTGCGTGTGGGTCCTTCGCTGCCTGCAGAATTCAGCCTCGTCTCTGAGCCAGCTGCGCTGCCTTGGCTCTGTTTTATAGCCTAGCCCAGACAGCCCAGCAGCACTCTGTGACCCAGTCAGCAGTCAGCACAGCGGCAGCACCCGTCCCCTTTTTGTCCACCCAAGAGGAAGAGAGTGACGTATAAGCCAACACAAAGGAGTGAGTGGGATTGAAAACCTTACCAGAAATGAAGCTTGGTGTCTGGCTGCAGAGGTGGGTTCTTTTAAAAGGGCGGAAAAACCTTCAGGGGCTTTCCTCTGTTGCAAAAGGTGGAACGGTGCAGATAAAAGCTGGAGATTTTCAGAGTGGCACAGACAGTAAAAAAGGTCAGAGAATAAATTCTGGAAAGTGAGATGAGCTTTGCTGGTTCCTCTGTTCATTTTCCCCTTCTATTTAAAACAACCTGGGGAAAACAAGGGACAAGAATTTTAAACACAAAAGGTTCCCGTAATCCCAACAAATGCAGAAACCAGAGCTCTAAGGAAAGACGAAAGCAAATTCACCAGGCACCTACCCAGGCAAATGAGACAGTCCTGTTTTATTCATATTTGGGGACATCTCATGTACATGTGTAGGAAAAAGAAAGACAGGAGGCTGACAAGACGGCTGCCTTAGATATATGGATATCACTGCAATACCTTACTTCCCCATTTGCATAAGCCCCTAATCAAAAGTCAGACCCTGGGACTCGGGAGTCCCTGAGCCCCCAAGGGAAGATGACTAATTAAAACAATAGGCATAACTGTGCCTGCCCAGAGAGGACTTTGCAGCAGCGTTGAGGCTACTCTGTGCTAAAGGATGAATCCGTGAAACACCTGGCTGTGGGGATGCTTGGTGGTGACTGCACCGCCTGGCTTTGCCACAGTCCCAAGGGAGAGCAGAGTGACTCCAGCTACACCACTTGTCCTCAGCCCTTGGAGGGTGCAGAAGGCAGTTGCCCCTCTGAAGAGAGAGAATTGGCTGATACTTATTGAGTCATGGCTCAGCACAGGCTGTACCATCATTATAAAAGAGGGGAAAGCTTTGGGCAGACAGACGTGCATATGGTCTGATGCACTTCAAGTCTTGCTCCCGCTGTGAAATAAAGAAGCTCCAGTTCAGCAGCAGGCTGTCTGCCCACGCTACCCACTGCTGCGCTCCCTCTCCCCAGAAACCTTTGAATACTTTGCCCACAACCTGCAGAAGTTGCAGGGTAAGCTTTTCCCATCTGTCTCTAGAGCCTACAGCCAGCAGCATGGAAGACCCAAATCCCAGACTACTTTATCTCCCTTGAAATACTGCATCCTCTCAGATCATTAACCGTGCTGAAAGGAAATGCTCTAATTATCTTTAAAATGCTTTTGTACGAATGTGACTATGCTGTTGCCAAACCTGAGGCAACATGCCGGCAAGTCCTGCACTGTTTGGACTAAAAATCAGCTCCACTGCAGGGCAGTGTAAAACTTTTAACTGCGTGAATCCCCTTGTGTTTTCAGCATTGGTGAGTTGACAGCACTTGGGTGGATCTGTAGGAAGCGACTGAGCACTGGCAGAGTTGGTGCCAAAGCTCTCCAATGTCTTCTGTTTGGGGAGGAGAGAAGCCACAGGGCAGAATATGGCCAACAGGAAAAAACTTAACTAATTAATTAATTACATTTTAATCTCAAGCTTGTGCATTGTTATTGCTGTTCGTGTGCAACTGCAGCACATTCATTCAAGCAATTCAGGAGCTCAGCTGGCCCACACAGTCAAGGTGGCTGCAAGCTCTAACCCTGACCCTAACTCTGGAAGGCAGAGCCTGACCTCCTGCTCAGGAAGCTCCAAAAGGCTGCTTACTACAGCAGGGAATCTCTGTGCAGAACACAGAAATTCTGCAGTTTCTCTGCAAATTGGCGTGTAACCAGATTTAGGAATGTCACATATCTCTGTGGATTGTAAGCACGTTCGCTGTGTGGCTCTAATGACACTTGAATGCTGGTGTTGTCAACATCAAGTCACCTTCTGCATTCACCAAATTCCGTGTGAGCGGGCTGTAACAAGAAATTGCTAACGCTGCCGTCACAACAGCCAGCCCAAAGGGCTTTGCAGTTTGCAATCCTCCCTGGACTGGATATGCAGACTCCTAGAACTGCTGCAGCTGAAATCTCCCTTTTTCCAGGTCATTAACACAGACTGGTTCAGTCTGGCCCCCGTGCGAGGAGCTTGGGTTTGCGTACTGCTTCTCCTCTAAGCTGTGTTTCCCAGCTGTTGCAGTTTAATATCCGGTTAGCTGCTCCAGCTGGTCCCCAATCAAAAGTACCCTCTTCCATCTCTTACTCTTCATAGTCAGGCCTCTTCTCCCAGGGCACAGACTGTGATGTGCTCAACACCAAAATCTCCTCCTCCCTGCCAGATAGAGAAGCGGCAGCTCATGCCACTTTTTATGCCTGCCACGTCGCCTCTGGCTCGCTTAACCTGCAGCGTAGAGAAATCAACAGTGAGGATGGGCTGGGGGGTGCAAGCCTGAGTGGGGGGCTCCCCGTCCAGTACACCTCTTGGCCGTGCAGTGCTTTGGAGGCACCCGGGGCTGGCAGGAGAGAGCACGATAGCAAACGTCTGCGGTTCCCACTGTGGCATCCCATCTTCCCCACCCACTCGTCCCTGCTGCATCCCCCATCCTGCCTCCCCAAGCAGCTAGAGACACGACTATGAAATGGAGCTTTCCCTCCCACCATCACTGCTATGGAAAAACGTCACACATGTGCTCACCCCCGTCCACAAGCGCGTGTGGGATGTGTCCCTCGGCTCAGCTGCAGCCAAGCGGCAGGCCGTGGGAGGAGACAGGGAGCACGGGGAACACTGCTTCGGTGGTCATTGCCCAGAGCCAAGCTACTACAGGCTGTTGCCCTTCCAACAGTGCGGGGCTCTCCTGCCTCAGCCCCTTCCCATCTCAGAGCAGCGTGCTGTGGGAGGCACAAGCACGCAAGGGAGACGGCTGCTCTGTGTCACTGGAAACAGAGAAGGGCATGTCATGGGAGCTGTGAGGACGTGCTGCTGGGCCAGAGCCTCTCCTGTCACTGCAGCCTTCCCCAGTCCTCCTTGCTAACAGAGGCTAACAGTGGCCCACTCTTCCTCCTCTTCACGTCTCACAAAGCCAGCTGGGCACCTTGGGATTGGGCTAGCAAATTGCCTGGTGCACAGGGGGACACTGGGCAGAGCACTGCCCATCTTTCTCATGGGCATCCTCATCCAAATACATGTCTGGCCCCTGATCTGCTCTGCAGACAGCACTGGTGAGGAACCGGAGCAGCTCCCACACCCCTGAGAAGCACTCACCAGGGTGGCACTGGTGCCCAAGGCCCCAGACTGCAGAAGCCCTGGGCGAGCAGCGGCCTTGGTGACAGTTCTGCCTGCGTGAGCGGCCCTGGCGCCGAGCCCTGCTGTGTGGAGAGAGCCTGGAGCTGTGCCGAACTCCCTGATTTTCTTCTCCCTCACCCCAGCACCAAGCACTCTGCACAAAATCCCTTCCAGTGCAAACTCCCACCATTGATTTCTTCTCCACTACACCCGTTAGTGGGTAAGATGTCCTTCCAGTAATGAGGGCTGCATCTTCTCCATATACATGTGTGCTTTGATTGAACTGCGGCTAATGAGCTGGGAGCAGAGCGCCCTGGAAGGATCATTTGGACCTGGGTTTGGATGAATCAGCTCAGCACGTGCCTGCGCCTGACACTGCATGCAGCCATGTTTCCTGTCCCAGGGCACTGGCTGTGGCCTGACCTCTCTAAAACACACATGGAGAGGCCATACTTGTCCCCACAGGGTCTCCTGCCAGCACTGGGATTCCCAGAAACGCTGTCCCACAGCCCAGCCTGAGTAAATCATTCTTTCCCATGTCTCTGCAACATACCGCCTGACTTCACGCGTGACCACAGCCATGGCCCTCGCAACCAGCCCCCAGAGGCAGAGAAGAGAGCACCTCTTCCCAAATTAGCCCTGGCGGGGGGGATGACTCACCCTTCTGCCACATGGTTAACTCACCGCTCACACGGAAACCTTCTCAAGTGGAAGTACCTCCAGGCTGACCCAGTCACTTTTCTGCTTCTCTTGGATGAGGCAAAGATGAACTTCTAAAGGCAAAGCAGCTTTGGTTTGTTGTCGTAGTTTCTTGCTGAGCCTGCTCCTCTCTGAAGTGATGCTCTGTAAATGTTAGCACATTCATCCAGCAGGTTCCTTAGCCCCAACTTCATACAATTCATACAACCAAACACACAACTCATACAATTTTCCCGTGTTCTCGGGTGTTTTCTACTTATACGTGCACCTACAACATCAGTAGTTTTTTGTCATTTCTAAGTGCTTGGAAGTTCCTAATAATCTGGGGGGGTTGGTTGGGTTTTTCTTTGCTTCAACCCTCAGTTTTTGGGCTGCCTACTTCTCCTGTTACTACCCAGAAGAAAATATTTCACCTTGTATCAAAGGAAGCCCACATGGACTTTTTTTTTCCTTATGGTTTGGGTTTGCTAATGAAATAAGTGGGCGTTTTTTGTCTGGCTGTTATTATTCGTTGTGGGCATCAGACAGTAGAAAAAGCTATAGTTTGAGTAACTTGCTGTCCAATTTCCCAAATCTCTGTCTCATCATCCATCTTGATTAACAGCTCTTTAAACATTTCCTCTTAATCACTAAGAAAGTTTTGAATAACACTGGGCCACAAACCAAGCCAACATATGCCTGTTCACTGATGCTTTCCTAACATGAAAAACACTTTCAAATGTCTCATTTAGCCACTTTTTGTCCATTTAATATGGATTTTATGACATTTTAAGCCAAATATTGATAGCAAGTCATATTGATTTATAAATCTATTTCACCACCACAACTCCCTCATAAAAGCACTATTAAGCTCATTAGAAAAGGTCTATTTTTCCATTAAATCACGTCAGCTCATACCAATTATATCACCACCTCTTCAAATGAGCCTGCTATCGTCCATACTAATAGTGCTCCTGCACTCATCAAAAGGTTAATAGCTCTGCGACTATATAGCTTACCAGCTCTTAAAGCATGGCTTTCTCCAGCCTCCCTTTAGTCTAAAATGTACAAAAAAATGACCACTCTTGTCCTGAAAGCTCTTTAGCCTATTCCTCTAAGAATCTTAGTGCAAGTCTGTTGCACTTGGTTGACATAAAACCACGTAGATCATCCCCAGGGCTGCGTAGCCCCCAGGCAGGGGCACACTCACTGGTCTTTTGCAAGGGACACCAAGCAGACGCTTTGTCCCAGGTCTGCCTGCAGGTCCTCTGGAAGTCTCCCAGTGCCAGACCCCAACACTGCCACTGCTTTTTCTGTCCTTGAAACGTGCCTGGGGGTGCAACACAGCTGGTTTTGTCCTGTCTGTGTGCTGCCAGCCCTTCCTCAGACCACACACCCTGCCTGAAGTACAGCACCCAGGAGCTGGGTGCTGCTCCTGCTGAGCAAAGGTGGCTCAAGTGAGACACACACTGCGGACTGCTCACAGTGAACAATTTCACCCTCGTCAGCATCCAGGTCT